AACTCACGTAAAATGCATTGAAAATGAAAGCATGCAGACAAAGCTAAAGTTATGACTCAATCCTGAAGTGAAGAAACACAGACTTAGGAAAATCCCTGGCTGTCTAAGACTGCGATTCTCTACCTTCCACACCACAGTGCCCCAGAATCCTTGGAGCTGGCAGAGCAGTAGCTCAGGCTTAACCTGTCCTAGCTTAGTTGGCTTTTTACCTTTCTCCAAGTGCAAAAAATGTTCATTAGGTCTTTATTCCGGTATATTAGATGATCCATTAAGTTCCCCCCAAACAATAACAACTACAATAATAACATAACGGCTGCAATAAGAAACAACAGCTGCTCCCATTTATCCAGCACTTCTTATATGTTTGACACTATTGATTAATTTACAGACTTTATCCTTCTCGAGCAGGCATTTTTCTCAGTTTAGAGGTAATTAAAGCCCAATATGTTGGCACATGCCTGTAATCTCAGCACTTGGGAGGCAGAGGCAGGAGGATATCTATAAGTCTGAGGCTAGCCTGGGTTATATAGCAAGTACCAAGCCATCAGAGCTACACAGCAAGACACTATTTTGAATAAGTAAGATAAAGGGAGATAGGAGATAGCTCAGTTGGTAAAGTGCTTACTTGCAAGTATGGGGACCTAAGTTTGATCCCCAGAACCAGCCTACATGAAAATGCCCAGCATAGTGACACACACTTAGAATTCTAGTGCCAGAGAGGAAGAGACAGGCTGGCTGGTGAGAGACCCTGCCTCAAAAGAGGTGGACAGTGTTGCAAAGGATGACACCAAGTTTATCCTCTGGGAAACACATACACACACACACACACACACACACACACACACACACACACACACAAATAAAACAAATAATGGAGATAATTAAGTTGAGGCTTAAAGAAAACTTTTCTTGGTCTCCTTTAGCAAATGACAGAGTTGTATTTCATTCGTACTTCTCCCCAAAGCCCTTGGTACCATTTTACTGATAATCTAAGAAAAACATGTTTTTTCCCAGACCTTAAGTTAGGTTTCTCATGTAGAATTATCCACAAGGATGGGACAAATGAATAAAATGGTTACTGCTCTGGTAGTTGACTTCACTTTACAGCTCCATTGCTGAAAATCTTACTTCCTAATCACCACAACATGCTCTTTCTAGCCCAGAGACTGACTATAACAGTAGGGATGATCCTCTGTGCTTATCCTGGGCTTTGTACATTCCTTGTTTCTGTTGAACACAGGAGAAGCCCCCCTTTTAAAATTACTTATTTTAATTTTATGTGTATATATGTAAGTGCACCCACGTCATGCAGTGCCCAAGGAGGACAGAAGACAGAAGAGGGTCTCGGATCCCCTGGAACTGGAGTTATGGATGGTTGTTAGCCATCATGTGGGTGCTGGGATTCAAACCCCACTTTTCTGCAAGAGCAGCTAGTGTTCTTAATCACTGAGCCATCTCTCCAGCTCCAGAAAAAGCCTTTTAAGGAGATGTCATTCTAATTGTATTCATGAGAAAGCCAATTTTAAGGAAAGTCAAAGAACTTGCCCAAATTCTGAGCTTATAAGTAACAGAGCTGTGTGTCTCTTTGGCTTGGTCCAAACAGTACTGAAAAGGGGTAGAAGCTTTAGATCATTGCTTGCATTCTGTGGATGTTATGCCACAAGAAATCATGGGGTGTCGTCTACTTGAAGAATGTCGGAATAAGGCAATGTGAGGTACTTAAAAGTTGCTAGATATGTGTGTGTGGTTTATACTTAAAATTATTTCTATGTCACACATATTTACATAGCTAAATCCTGAAACTTTCTAGAAATAGAAAAGAAAATGAAAGATTTACTCTTGAGTAATAAGGCTGGAGTTGAAGGAAAGAGGGATCAGCCATTAAATTCTTACTGTGGTGCAAAGGTTTTTAAATGTCAAATGTTAAACTCTTCAACATTCAATACGAATTTTGCTATGAGTCTTCAGTCCCCTAGGGTGTGCTTCCTGTCTGTGCCTGTCAGCTTCATTGTTAGATATTTTAAATAAAGGTTTTCCTAACATTAAAACTCCTTCCGGCCCTTCCTCTTAAGAAGCAGACATAAATAAAGTGTGTACTGGGTCTTTACAGTTTTGTTTCTTTTACCTTTTTCTAACCATGTGCCCATCCCCCACTCCTTATCTTCAGAAGTGTAAAGCTAAGGTAAAAAGGGCTTTTTAAAAAGGGACTCTGGGGAAGTATGCAAATGACAGAAATGTCTATGAGAAAATTAAGGGAGAGGAAATTCAGCAAGAAAGAAATCCATTGATGTTGTGATGAAACGTTGTCGCTGGAGATGATGACAAATTAGAGTCGGTTCCCATGGGGACCACACACTACCTACTGATCATTTGACCCGTGGCTGGAAGTTGGCTAGCCTAAGAATTGACCCAAAAGATGACAAGATGGTTTTAGTCCCGTTGTCTCATCAGCATTCAGGAGCCCCTTAGGGGATGAAGGGAAGAGGGTAAAGAAGGATAAAAGATGAAAGCTGAGCTGTGGAAAGAAAAATGATTTTAATTACACTGAGGAGGATTGTGGGTCCACCTGTAGCTTTTTGTTGAGAATGTCCTTTGTTTTTTCCTGTCTGCAGAGAGATCATGATAGGATACTGTCCCAGCATCTGTGTGGCCTCTTGGAAGGCTCCATGGTGGCTAGCTTTTCCTCCAGTTTAACAGATACTTTCAGCCTTTAATCTCTCTGTCGGCTATCGTTCCTCTAAAAGATTCTGTTATACTTGCCCAGCAACCTGGGTTTGGTTAGCATGCTAAGAGGTTCTTTTAGAAAGGGGGGTGGGGAGGGGGAGAATGGGTTATTAGCTAGGGTTTCCATAGCAAGTTACCATTGCACTCCCTGCTGGAAAATAGAGACTTTTTAGAGCTTCATGCACTGGTCCAGAGAGACCTGTAAGCTCCATCTGCCTCAGTTTCTTCAATTAGATAGTAATAACTAGTATTTCCTTTTACTACTCTGTGATGGAGTTTATTAAGGTAAAACGCCTGAGGAAAATATTGAATTCTGAAACTCACCCCTTTGGGGAATGGAGCAATCCAGTGACTGTATTCTCTGTCCAAGTTATAAATTAAGTTGTTTAAAGTTGCTTGAGTCCTTAGAACACTTAATAAGTTGCTTTGATGCCACTTATACCATAGTTCAAATAGGCAGTATTAGCTAGGAATTGTTTACAGGGGTTTCATTATGTCATGTTTGGCCCTCTCCCTTTTTATGTGGGTATTTGATAAGTGAAATCATAGTTTAAAAAACCCAACTCTCTCTAGCTGGGCATGGTGGCACACACCTTTAATCCCAGCACTTGGGAGGCAGAGGCAGGTGGATCTCTGTGAGTTCGAGGCCAGCCTGGTCTCCATAGGGAATCCAGGGCAGCTGGGGCTACAGGGAGACCCTGTTTCAAAAAGACCAAAAAAAAAAAACCCCAAAAAACAAACAAACAAACAAAACAAACCCAACTCTCTTATTATAAAGTAATGTGATTGCATGGTGCATACTATGCTGCCAAAAATCTCATTGCACTTGTTAAAATGGATTGGAATAGAAATTGAGGTGGCTGGGTTTGTAGCTCAGTTGTATAGTGCTTGTTCAGCATGTGCAAAACCCTAGGTTCATTCCAGCACTCTGTACACCAGATGTGGTGGTGCACACCTGTCCCACCTCCTCCCAGCACTCCAGAGGTGAAAGTACAGTCAATGGGTGATTTTATTTTGCTCACTGACCAGAAGTTGAAGGTCATCCTCAGCAACATAGTGAGTTCCAGGCTAGTCTGGGCTACATGAGACCCTCTCTCCCAGAAAAAGAAAAGATATCGGAGATGGAGAGAGGAGGATGGGATTGAACTATAAAATGCAAAGAGAAACAGTGCCACATAGAAGTTAGAAATAAATTATCCAGAAAATTTTCCAAACTTTATTGGTGTAATTTTTAGGAAAAGTTAAGACCTTCAGTTCTTTGAGAATATTACTGGAAAAAAATTGTTTCGAAAACACAAATGAAGATATTCTGATTGCCTCTGTGTTCCCAGCCTGTAGGCTACTGGATTGTATGCACCTTATGACCCAAAGGAGATGATTAGTTCTCCTCTAGTGTGCTGTTAATGAATAGCTCTGCAAAACCAATTAGCCATAATTCTCTTAGTCATTTCATTTGGGTAACATTTTGTTTCAGGGGAAGAAAAACAATGCTGTTTTCCTTAGAGATCTGAAATTAAGCTGTGGTATTTGATAGGAACAATGGAGGAAAAGGCAGTATGCTTACCAATTTGCTGTCATTATTCCCACATGAAAGTAAATCATGATAAAGTGTTCTGTTCACAGCAGTTAAGAAAGACATTTGTCCATCTTAAAGGTGTAACAGACCACATGCAAGTGTATTTCTAACGACACATTTTGTTTTTTTTATGGGTGTCTACACTGTACCTCTCTAGAGAATTGCCATTCACACAAAGACGTGAATGGCATCTCCCAGAGTTGTACAGCAGAAGGCAGTGGGTATCACTTCCCTTCCTTCATGCACTCCCCATTCCCCATCTCTCTGTGAAAGCAGAATCACAAGTCACAAGTCAGAAAAAGCCTCTCCTTTTTTTTTCTTTTTTTTTCTTTCTCTCGCTCTCATTATTTTGCTTTCTTACAGTGCTTACTGTCGTGCTGGCAATAATATGTGCAGTCTGCATTTTCCTTTTTCCAGCCGGCACTTACAGATAAGCATTATTCCGTTTGAATTCAGACACAGGAGAGGTTTATAATATATCATCTGTTACAGGAGGAAGGTATACTGTCTTTGTTTTTTTGATTGCTGTCTTAGTTTCTCACCATAACATCAGGATATTTTGCAATTTTTGCTCCAGCCCACAAAGTAAAGATGATTTGGGTATAGTTTTTGTTATTTGAAGCTTATGATACAAATTAATTCATTTATTAGGAGAAGTAAAGTCAATGGGTGATTTATTTTTGCTCACTGTCATTCACAGCTAGCCAAGAAAATCCGTGAGAAGTTCAACCGTTACCTGGATGTGGTCAATCGGAACAAGCAAGTTGTAGAAGCATCCTATACAGCTCACCTGACATCCCCGCTGACTGCCATTCAGGACTGCTGCACTATCCCACCGTCCATGATGGAGTAAGACCTGAGCATTCTCTGCTTTTGTTTCTATACCAAGAACTGAATTGGTATCAAAATACCTGTGTTTGATTATTGCAAAGCATACAGTAATTTCCATTTATATAAAAGGCGAGCCCTTCATCTTTTCATAGATACAGAATGTTCAAAGAAGTCTGACTCGATGTTCTGTAGCCAGAAGATCCTTCCTATTTGCCTTTTGGTCATGGTGGAATTCGGGTTCAGAAGCATCAACTACTGCTGCAGGGCAAGTCTCCTAATCCTAGAAAATCGCAGACATTTTGTCAGGAGTCCACTGATTAGCCATGAATAAGACTCACACTTGCTTAATTTAAAGGAGTGCCTTTTATATTTGAAAGAGTAGCAAAAATCCCACTTCTTCCTCTAGACAGTGCTATTTTAAAATATATTTTATTTATTATTTTTATTTTTATGTGTATAAATGTATTGCCAGCATGTATGTAAGTGCACCCATGTCATGCAATGGCCTCAGAGGTCAGAAGAGGGCTTAGATCCCCTAGAACTGTAGTTGTAGATAGTTGTTAGCCACCATACGAGTGCTGGGAACTGACTGGGGTCCTCTGCAGGAGCAGCCAGTACTCTTAACCACTGAGTCATCTCTCCAGCCCATAGAAAGTACAATTTTTAAAATGCTTAAGCGAATGTGATTTTAGATAGTATTAAGACAAAGTTGGTATTCGGATGGTAAAGGATATTGTATTTATTAGCCTAATGATAGTCTACCTACAGGCTTATAGAATCATATAATACTGAAATTAAGGTGAAAACACACAAAAACTTAATTTTAGGTTTGCTTTGGTCTTTATTTAGCTGTGCAACCTTAATCTGGCTAATATGTATTTTTGTACTTGGATTATTATATGGATAATAATCTTTATATAAGTTTCTAGAGCTATTTAGAATAGGTAAAAGATGCTGATATGCTTTAAAAGTTTTATGAGTAATTAGTTAATGTTAGTTAGTGTATTATTTCCTCTCACAGCACAGTGAGTGCTCTTGAAGACTGGCTAAGGAACAGGTGTGATACCGAGTTTTGGTGGCTAAATGGTGCTACACTTCCACAGCCAGTTCTCACTTTCTGTGGATTTTTGATGGGCCTTGTAGGTAACAGGATCTCCAAATCATTGTATTTTTTTCATAAATCTTGATATTGAGATAGGTTTCCTCTGATTTACCTGTCTGTGGCCTGAAGACACTCATACTAGTTACTCTGCATACAAAAAGGAATGTGCACTCAAATACAAATCAAATTGCCTATAACAGTCCCACATCCATCCACACTGCAGTGGGTGAGCCACCCTGTCTTCATTTCTGGTGTGGGAAAAGAAATTAGTGCTTCACTAAGTGCTGCGAGCATTCAGTGAAATCAAATATGAAAACATTTTAGAAACAATAATGCTGTAAAAAAAATACTGGCTATAGTTTTTATATAATCCCAGATAATAGTCAGCATTTTATCTTTGTTATGAAATTTCACCATAGGAGCTTTCTTCTAACTGGAAAGCAGGAACAATGCATTTCACCAACCTATCACATGAGTAGCCAACGAAGCTCTAGCTGGGTTTTCAGGAGAGGGAGGAAAGACAGTCTAGTAAGAAGTCACTAGTGATCAAATTCATAGCCTTCTAGTGATGGATATAACTGGAGGAACACAGGAGAGCCCCAAACAAAAGTGCCTAAGTGCTGAGGTTAAAGAGCCTCTAGCTTAGAAGCCAGGACATCTTCATAAATTCCCACACAGAACTAGTGATCTTGAG